ATTCAAGGTCAGGTTGGACGGGGCTCTGAGCAACCTGACCTAGTTGAAGATGTCCCTGCTCATGGCAGGGGGGTTGGACTAGATGGCCTTTGAAAGTCCCTTCCAACCCAAACTATTCTATGATTCTATGATTTACTTCTGTGTTTCTCTCCAATAACTTTACAACTGTGTTTTCAGCAAAATGTAATGTTACTGGTAGTCGACAATACCTCACCCTAGACTTCAGATCCATTGTAATTGCTGGAGTTTAGGCAGACTTGTTTTGTTTTCAATTCTCCCTTTGCAGGTGGAAGAGATGAAACGTCGGCAGTACACACTTGCTTTCACATCTGCTGGAGCACAAGCTCAAACATACCATGTTTCCTTTGAAACGCTGGCAGAGTGCCAGCGGTGGCACCGACAGGCATCCACGGTGAGGCCCTGGAGACTGCGGTAGTTTGGGTGGTGGATACACAGGGGTAAGAAGGGTTTTCTGATGTAGGCTTGGTACGCAGGCAGGGATGAAGCTGTGGTGCTGGAGAAAGTACCCAGGACACTTTCCAGCTTTCTTCATTTCTTACATGCTCAGGACTACAGAGACTTTCTTTTAGCCTTCTCTTCTCTCTCTGCCTGTGCAACAACGTAGAGTAGTAGTTCTGCATTTTTCCACCCCTGCTGCACCTATTGGGAGTGGCTAATCACAAGTCACTAGAACAAACCCCAGGGACTGGCTGACTTTACAGCCGTAGAAACCTATAAATTGCACCTATTGCCATACTTTAATCTGCCTGAACTGTGGCCTGGGCTGGCATGGGGCTAGCCTGATTGGTTTGAGTTAACACAGAGATCATAGGTCAGCAAGGGAAGTGTAGTTTGTTCAGAGCTGCATCTTTATTCCACAGTAAAATACAATTAGATGGCAATAGCTTAATGCTGAGCCACGCTTTGACCTCATGTATATATATAATATTATGAAGTATGAAATGAGTTCAGGATAAAGCAGGTCATAAAATCTGGAAGGAAGCACCGAAGACCTTGAAACAAAGCATGCTTAATGAAAGGAGATCTGATATTTGCAAAGACTTTATGAAATGCTGCAAAACTGTAATTTATGAAGCCTTTTCATCATCACAGGTTATGTTTCCAATATTATACCCTGAACAAGCCAATAAAAGAAAATGGGAAGAGGTAGCTAGTCCAAGCAGAGGTTCTGTAAACCTTAAAGGTCTGAACTGGAAAGTCAACTGCTTCCTGTTGCTGCTTGCATCTGTGGAAGGCACTCAGAGATCATGCTTTCTCAGCAGAGTTTCCTCAGCCAAAGATATGTTTTTCTCAATTAGGTTGGCTCTCTTACGGTCTAGCTTTTAGGCCGTGCCCATTGCACATATAGAGCAGGGCTTTCGGTGCATCCTAGTTGGTATCCAGATATGCATCCTTGTCAGGGGGCTTGCAGAAACAATAGTAGCAAATGGCATAAACTCATACTCCGTGGGCTGTTTCCTGTGTGGACTCTACCTGGTGGGTATAAGGGGGTTCTTTCATGTTCTTGCAGATTGTTTGCTACTTGCATTCTTTGGCCTTCCATTAGACTTTCAGAGAAAAATTGTTGCACAGCTGCAGCTCTTCCTCCTTCTTTTCAGGTTGTGTCTATGCGACTTAGCATGGTTGATCTTTCATGCTACAGCCTTGAGGAAGTACCTGAGCACCTCTTCTACAGTCAAGACATCATCTACCTCAACCTACGACACAATTTTATGAGATCAAGTGGAGCAGGGAGTCTTGACTCTCTTTGCAGGTCTGCAAAGAATTATTTTTCTTCTACATTTGGAGTTCTTGACATGTGCATTCAGGGATGAAGAGGAGGGGGAGTGTATTGCCCATTCTCGTGGGATGGTAAAAAGATTGATCTCCAGGAAGCTCTAACAAATGAGGGGGCTAGGAAGCAGAACTGAACAGTGCAGGCAGGCATAAGCTTCCAACCATTTACAGTATTCATTAACTCCCTTCCACAGATTCTTTGTGCTAAGTTTGATCAGAGATGAGCCTTGTGGAGCGATATGCCATTTGTATGGACAAGATGCAATAGTAATATAAGGCTGCTTGCTAAACAGAGAACATTCTGGGGTATAAAATAAAAGGTGAGGGAAAGCATAATGCTGCTGTTGTGGGTAAGTGTTTGTAGGAAGAAGTGCAGATCTGAAAAAGCCTGTTTTGGTAAGTTCTTAATGTACACTTGGAATTGGCAGAGGGCCTGTGAGACTCCAGCTTTGCTTTGGGAACTTGTAATGATCTGCTTTTAAGAGAGTAGCAGTTGTGTGATGGTATGGAAGCATGATGTAGTCATCTTAGGTAAGTGAAGGAGTCTTACAAAAATATTTTTAAATTAATTCCTGACAACCATAAAAATCTAGAGGAAGATTAGTCTGTTGATATCTACTCTAGCCATGCTAAAAAGAATTCAAGGAGTTGCTCTATGAATTTCGAAAGCCATTAGGAAGCCTGCAGTAATGTTGTCAAATGACTCTGTTTGGAACACGTTGTGCCTTAAGAAAAATGTATTTGGAGAAACTTTGCAAAATTAAATTAATTCCTGACAACCATAAAAATCTAGAGGAAGATTAGTCTGTTGATATCTACTCTAGCCATGCTAAAAAGAATTCAAGGAGTTGCTCTATGAATTTCGAAAGCCATTAGGAAGCCTGCAGTAATGTTGTCAAATGACTCTGTTTGGAACACGTTGTGCCTTAAGAAAAATGTATTTGGAGAAACTTTGCAAAACTGCAGGTTTTTGTTTTGGTTTGGTTTTTTTGTTGTGGTTTGGTTTTGTTTTGTTTATCTCTAGGGGCCTATTACCAGGTTATTTCATTTTTTTTCCTACAGAGTAATGAGATACCTAGGTATCCATGAGGGTATACAGGGAAAAAAAATTGCTCACCCGTGGGAATTCTTTGCAGTTTCATCGAGAGACAGAGTCTAGTCTGGTTTTGTTTTAATTCCAAACTTGTTTAAATGTTTTCTAACAGCTGAATTGTAATAGATTGTTATTGGAAAAGCTGCTTAAAATAATTCAAGATTTTGCTTTCTACTTCTCTCTTCAAATACATTGTGTGATGTTGAAAACCGTATCAGAACTTTATTTTCTAAAATGCGGTATCCTTGGTTCACAGGATCAGCAAAGGGGCTTGAAATTTCTTTTGACCTTGCATGTAGTCAACAAGAGATCTGACATGTCAGAAACTCGACTCTTTTCCTGGCAGTGACTATGTCTGATGAAGCTGAAATCCTCAAACAAACAAAAGCCATAAAAGAAGCCCTCACTTCACACAATCTTGAATAAACAGGTAGCATTAGGTAGCCCACATAAGGCTGCTCATTGCCTTTTGAAAAAATTTTCTTTCTGAGGTTTTTAGGATGTTTATCAGGTCGCAGCCCCAAATGAAGAAACTTGCTCACTTGCAGTAGGTGTTATCAGTGCCTAGAGATTGATAATTCTGAACAGCAGAATTTTTTGCAATGATCAGATCTCTTCCTCTGAGGAAATCTTTGAGGCTTTAGGAGTCTAATTAACTATAACAATAATAATGGAACAAAAATAATTAAAAGGGAAATGTTAAGCAAAGGAAATTAAATAACCCGACCTGTTTTGTTACGTCTCCTAGCTTATTTTTTATGTAACACAGACTTTCAAGTATCTCCCTTTTCTGGAAAACTCTATCAAGTCTGATCTTCATTGATAAGTGTGTGTGTGTGCGCACATGCATGTGTATACATATGCATGTCTATTATCACTATTCTAGCTAGTTGATACAGAGTTGTACTGGGATGCTTTGGCAGCAGAGCAGGATGTTGTGTTAAATTGGGAATATTTCAGGCCAGCACCAGTTTGGGCTGCTGAATGATCATCCCATTGAGGATTTGTTGCTGTGTTTCCACACCTCTTCACTGAAATCTCCATATGCCCTGTGATAGCACAGACCAAAACTTGAGGAGCCGTAACGATTTCAGGATCCTTATTCCCTATAACACATGGTTCATGTATACAACTTGAATGAGAGTTGGGTTTGCATTCCATTCCTACATCCCTACTGCTTGAGAATATTGGGGCAAAGGAGAAGGAACAGAAGGGGAACTCAAAAGGCTTTTTACTATTGTCCTCCCCATTGAATGTGACAGTCTGCTTGAGGAGTCTCAGTCAAACCTGTATCATGTGCCAGTTTCCCTCCAGCTTTTGGAAACTTTTATGCCCCTTTTGTGTTTGCTTTGATGTTGTTGCAGAGGGATGAATTCTAAAAATTCGTTATGCTGTTGCGTTTAATGCCTTTCTTCTTGGGGCAGCTTCTCACCGCACTCTGCTAATGACAGAGAAAGAGCTGCTTGGTGTTAAGGACAGGTGCCATAGAAAAAGTCATTGTAGAACTCCAGAGAAAGCAGTTTCATTAAAGTGTTTTCTGATTCCAAAACCTGAGAAGTGTGATCTTTCCTAAATCTCTTGAGGTTGAACCAGTTAATGAGAAAGTTCAAATCTGTAGGTTTATCCTCATTGTTTCCTTCTTTTCCGTTATTGTTGTGAAATTCTGTGTGCAGGTTCTTGATTTTTGTATCATTGTTAGATCTTTGCATCATACAATACATTCCCTTTAGGAAGGCTATTACCAATAGAGCATCTTTCTCTTTGGCTTTCAGTTGCATTACAAGAGAGTCTGTTTGTGGCTGCAGCAAACATAAAATGCCTATGCCCTTATTTATATGACAGGGTGCTTTTTCAAAGCAAACAACCCATGTCCAAGTTTCAGATATGCTCCCTCTTTTTAAAAAAAAAAAACAAACCTCCAAAGATTTTAAAGCAAAATGGAGAAATATAATGCATAGTTCCTACACAGATCATTCCAAGTATTCTGAATCTGAAAAAGGAGTCTCTATAAAGAAGAAAAAATTTCAAAACCTTTCAGTCTTATACTTCAAGACATCTCAAGCTAGCAGTAATATTCACCCTCAAGCTAATTAACCTTGGTTTTGTTACCTATATTAAAAAATTTGCTTCAAAGTAAGAGCTATTCACCATTGCCTAGCAAAAAGTATGGTAGGTGGAGCAGATGAATGAGCTATGTTTCCAGGCAGTACTTCTCTGGTACATTACATTAGATTTGCAATTGTCTGATAAAAGTATATTAATTTCCCCACTGAATTAATTTCTGATGGTTCCAGTTTGGGATGGGGAGTTATTACTTGGGGAAAAATACTTTTCTTTCCTGTAGAAAGAGGTAGGAACATTTTGAGAAGAACCTCTTGCATGTTACCCCAACCCATGCTCAATTTCTTCTCTCTGTTTGGACCTAGCACAGTGATAGAAGGAGCTGGAATAGGCAACCATCTGTTAAGCGCAGGTGGGACTGTAGTGACTGTGAGGGCTGTGTCAGTACTTGTGTGGCTGTACCTATGGTACAGTCTGCCAAGCAAGTGGCACTTTAGACATGGAATCTCTTCCAAGGACCTATGGATGGAGGTCTTGGAGCTTCCCAGCATGAAGTCAGCGCTTTCCTGGTTTTCCCTTTTACAACTCTGCTAGGCCTTCTGTTGTGCCTAGCTTGAAAAGGGGAAGTTCCCCTCTTCTGTTTTATTCTCAGAATAGTTCCAGCTAATGTTTTCAGCTCCTGTTTTCCCAAGCTGCATAATTGTAGACTGTTACTCTAAATAATTCTTTGAAGGTAAATTTTTTGAACTGAGTATTTTTAGTCTCCTTAATCTTAGTAACAGTCACTAGGAGGAAGCCTGTCGGGAATCAGGGTAGAAGGTTGTTATCAGTTTCTGCAGTAAAACCATGGTATTTGATCACTTTCAGCATTACCACTGAGATACAAAATATCAGTGACAAAAATATTTGTGCAGAAACTCCCATAATGAGTTAGCTGACTGTATCTCCAGTGTACAAAGACTTAAAAATTCTTTATGTCTGGTTTTGTATGTTTTTGCCTTGAGATCATGGAGGTTTGTGAATTAACTAGTGTTCTTGCCAATAGGTTTTCTCAGTTGAAGAGCCTGAATCTGTCTCATAATAGACTCGGAGAGTTTCCTGTATCACTGTGCGAGATCTCTACTCTGACAGAGCTTAATATTTCCTGTAATGGACTTCATTACTTGCCAAGCCAGATTGGCAAACTGTTGAAGTGAGTATATTCTTTTTATCTGTGGTTATAAACATCCTTGGTGCTTCAGTTGAGCACAGCTGACCTGAAGGTACTACTTATAAAAGTCTGGGTGCTGGGACAGCCTGTTCTGCCTGCCCATGAAGACTAAATGATGGATTTGACTCCAGTAGAAGGTCGAGAACCAAGATGTCCAATAAGGTTTCTTTTTCCTTGAAAATGAAGATATCGCAGTATGTTTATACAGTTGCCATTTTAAGTCACTGGTATATAGCAAGTTATCATTCATCATTTGTGACTTCCTGCCTATTCTACTAGCTATGTAAAATATATTAGTGTAAATCAGTTTTCTAAGAGAGGAAAATAATGGATTTTGCCTATTTTGGAGTGGCCTAGGAAGACACTTAAGTCAGTTATGGTGCCTTGAATCACAGGCGCCACCTTGCTGAACTAGAGTAAACGCGAAGGCTTCTAAGCCTATGAATATACTCTCACTTAAAGTTTAGTAAACTTGAAGCTTTTTATGTTCTTGGTTTAGTAAACTTGATGCTTTTTATGTTCTTGGGGGGGGGTGTTTTGGGGGTTTGTTTTTACTTTGGGGTGACTTGTATGAGTTCTTGCGGGTTTATGTCCAATTTTTATGTAAATTTGAATGCATCTCGTTCTCTTTGCAACTGCTGCCATCTTGCATCCCTTGCCTGCTTTCTTGTAATTTCCTTCCTACGTTATCTTCTAAATTTTTTTTAAACTACTGTTATGGTGGTGCCTTGTCGGTTAAACATAAGTATTGTTATGTTTACGTAAAAACAGTTAAGAGTTTTTAAAGATCATGCTGTCAGGGATATTTCCAGAAGCTGTAGATTAGTACAGTGAAACATCTATGGAGATCAGCTAGGCTTTGTAGAACTAGGGGAAAATATATATGCCTCTCAAATTCTGAGGCCTAGCCTGTGGACCTTATTTATACAAGCAAGAGCATGCTGGTTATATTGCTGCAGTATTCATAAATGTCTTACACAAAAGGGACTGCAGATTTCTTAACTGTATGCAAGTTTTAAAGTATAAGGGTACCTTATAGAACCAAAGACAGTCTCAGGTGCAATTTCTTAATCGCTACTATTAAAACATTACAGCTGCTGATGTAGAAAAGATGAGGAAACATGATGCAGATGAAGCATTGTCTGAAGACAATTGTATTGTTTCTCAAATAAGTTAATGCGCATTTTTCTGCAGCTGCAGAGGTGTGTGACTTTCTGAATTTCTGTTTATTATTTGTATTTAATATTTTCAATACTGATGCAGTTTCTATTAAAGTTTTAATTTATTGTATAAAACTTTTCTGTGGTAACTTCTCACAGAGGTCTAGTGATTTTTGTCAGCATTAGTATGTTTTGATAGCTTTCTACTGAATTGGTTGCTTTTTGTGTTAGAAAGAGGATTTTAACATGGAAATACTTGGGCAATCTCCTCTGAAAATTTTGTCTTACAGTGTTTGCTGGAGTAAAAACCTTCTCCATTTTCCCCAGTGGCTACCCAGAATGCATAAAAGCTTAAGCTTAGGTAAATTTAATTGCAAGACTATTATTGCACGTTTAGATAAATGTTGGTATTGAGCTATTGGTTCATTGTGGCCTGCTCTTCCTCCAGCTTCTATCTTTAAAAAAGGAGTATCTGCAGCTACGCTGGATGTAAGCAAGTCATTTCCAGAGCGATCTTTTAGCCATATGCAAACTGTGAGGAAAAAGCTGTATGCAGGCTTACGGTTTTCAGAGGTTTACAACTTAATTATGGGTCCAGCCATCTTCATGACCCCCTTGAGCCCTTATTCATAAGAACTTTTTATGGCCCCAGATTGCATTTCTACCACCGCTAAACACTGTTCAGAAAGTTCTTTGTTGGAACATAATCATAATGAGGGAATTATATTTTGGGGATTTGAGTCTCAAAAGCCATGTAAACTTTAAAACAATTCATCTTGCAACAGAAAGCTACCCTATTCTTTTCTGAGTGTCTGAAAGGACAACTGGAATGTAAAAATCGGTTACCAGTGTGTTAGTGTGGTAGGAATTGTGATTAAACTGTGCCGTAAGTGCCACAGATGTGAATAAGTGCCATAATAGTGATATGAGATTCCAGCGATTGGATGATGAAGGTGCAGTTGATCTTTATTGTTTCTTATGAGACAGGTCTGTTACTGTTGTAATTTTTGGTTTTAGATTGTCATAGGTCTTTTAAAGATTGTCCAGCATGCTAAGTGAGGAGTTCTTAATTTGTAGAAAACCAAGTGATTAAGTAAATATCTTTCATTTACAACGTAAGTACTGATTTGTATTTTGCTTATGTTAACTTACAGTCTTTGGCACAACTGGAAGTTTACCTCCAAAATAATTTAGGAACTATTTGGTATTGCATACATGCAGTTCCAAGCCTATTACATGTGTAATAAAAGTACTCCAGTAATTTTATGTGTATAAGAATAAAATTAGCTGTTAGGTACCTTTAAAAAATAACCACACTGAGACCAGCTAGCTATACGAGGAAATTCACTAGAAATGTTAAATATGATGTTCACTACTCTTTGCTGAATTATTTTCTCTTTTTCACTGCTGCAGTCTCCAGACCTTCTGGCTTGATGGGAATTTCCTCACATCCTTACCAGAAGAACTGGGAAGTCTGCAACAGCTCAGCTGTCTTGGACTTTCCTTCAATAACTTCTGTGAACTGCCAGCAATTTGTGAGAAACTCATCATCTTAGACAAACTAGCCCTGGCAGGGAACTTGCTAGAGACCCTGGACCTTGCAGTGCTGAACCGAATGAGTCACATCAAAAGTGTGGACCTGAGGTAAGGGGGGAAACTTGCATGTGTGTATAAAGCAGATTGCTACTTTACATTTACAGCAGAGGAGCTGTGTAACTTCTAGTACATTTTGCAGGGTTTTTTTCTCTTACTGATTCTTTAGCTTTTAGGGAGTTCTGTTTCTGAGGTGTGCAGAATTCACTTAGAGAAACAAGGTTAACTGAGCAATGCCTTAAGCAACTGAATGTGACTCAGTCCTCTAGTTTCCTCTTTTGATATGCTGTTACTATGAGCTTCGGTAGCTCTTTGATCTCTCCTACCCTTTTTTGCGCACACACACACCCTGCCCCCAAGATGTGATCCTGATTCTCCAGACTGCCAACTGCAGAGCTCTCAGAAAGGGACAAAGAACTTTTTGTCTGTGGCAAGGCAGTCTAGTATCTAGTCTCTGCATTAGCTTCCTGTGTCAGTGCAAAGTAGCTGTCCCTTGGCCTGGCTTCTAATTTCTAGACTGGTCTTCAGAATCTCTTAAACATTGGGGAATAAGTAAGATGATTTCACATAGCAGTGCAGAGGAAATGTTTTTCTTCATATTCACTGCCTGAAATCCACCATTGCTCCTCACACATTTCACTGTGCTCACCTTTGGCATTAGCCTTCACCAGAACTCTTCCTTTCCTTTTCTTTCTTTTCTTACTGATGTCCAGTGTTCGGTGTCCTATTTTCTGACTTTGTAACTTATCTCTGAGTGTTTAGGCTGAACAACCTGAAGAGAGCAGCAGCTGACACTCTGGAGGGGAACAAGTCTGTGACTTACATGGATTTACGAGACAATCAGATGACAGATCTGGATCTGAGCTCCTTGGGCAGCCTGGAGCAGCTGCACTGTGAGCGGAATAAGCTGAAAGAGTTGACACTGAGTGGCTTCTCCCTTCGGGCCCTTTATGCCAGCAGCAACTGTACGTCTCTTTGCCTTCTTCACCTGCCTTCTTCCTTCAAGCCCTGGGAACAAAGGAAAACAGCCCTTTGCCCTCACCCACACAAAAAAAATACTTACACTGATGTTACAGTAGTGAAACTGTATGTGATGGGTCTTCTGGGGTCAGCTCCTAGGGATCACATACGCATGTATGTGCACAGGCTGTGTAACAGGGGGAGGTTGTGGTGTTGAGTTACTGTCCAAGAAATTCATATTCCAGTGAGATCTGTTTGGGAGTCCACAAATAAAAGTACAGTTCTCCCTTGTTCTGGTGCACCACGTGGCAGATGGAGAGACGGGATAGTGAGAAGCTGTAGTGCCATATGGCAGATGTATGAAGTGTGAACTCTGTCTTGGGAAGGATGAGTAGAGACCTTGGGTATCCATAAAGTAAGACTATGAGTCTCGCTAGCTAGTCTGTCTGCTTCTCTGTGCTGTTTTCCCCCTGAAGCTCTGCAATCATAATTATTTGCTTTACTTAATCAGGTCTGACAGCTGTCAATGTTTATCCGGTTCCTGGTCAACTGACATATCTAGAACTCTCTCAGTAAGTGACTATACACCACAGAATATAAAGCAAGTATCTGGACACCTTTGCTGTTTTCTGCAGAAATTTTCTGGAGCTTTTAAGCTTTTGAAAGAGTTAAGAGCAATTGAGGAAAGGCACTCTATCTTCACTGGAAAGCCCAGCACTGAAGAATGATGAAAGTTTCCCAGACCAGAAGCCCCTCTGAACCAGTATGACCTGTCTAGGTGACTGGCTGTCCTTCAGCTGTAGGCTGTAATCGGCAAAAAAAGCCAAGCAGGGACCACTGAACTTGTGGCAGCTTACTGGGCTGAATGGTGGGAATCTGTGGAACAAACCTTTAGAGTAGCTGCCAGTGATCTCTGCTGTTGGCTTTGTTCCCTACGTCTGCCCTTGGAGCAGCGTTGAGAGACCTGTAAGATAGGTCCCAGAGGACCTGATTACCTTTTGTTTCAGTTCTGGGTTGAAGCATGATAGCAGGATAGCATAGGGTAGCCTGTTCTGCTGATGTCAGTGCTGTAAACAAAAAGCCTGTTCATCAGAGCCTTACATCAGTACTTTCTACCAATCGTGCACCAGCTCAGTTTGCATTACACAGCTAGCCGTGAGATAAATTCCACGTGACTAGCTCAGATACTGTTGTTCATTTTCTGCCTATTGTTTTTGGTTTGGCTGTCACTGATGTCATGCAGCATTCAAACAGGGTATGTTCCATATGGAGTGCTGGTGTCTAGCTTTTCCCCCCTTGCTTTTCTCAGCAATCAACTGCAGTGTGTCCCAGACTGGGCCTGTGAAGCAAAGAAACTGGAAGTTTTGGATGTGAGCTACAACCTCCTTGTGGAGCTTCCATCGAGGTCAGCAAACCTTCTTCTTATACAGAGCTGAGCTTTCTTCTATGGTGAGCTGACTGGGGACAGAGAAGCAGTGCTATTCCAGTTGCTTTATTTCTTGTTGTGCAGAGATATAATCCACTTACTTTCTCTGTGCAGCATCAAAAATACTCTGTATTCAAATGTTGGAAAGAATTGACTTCCAAATCAGCTTCTTGAATAACAGTGGCTAGGTAATTTCATCATAGAATCATAGAATCATTAAGGTTGGAAAAGACCTCTAAGATCGAGTCCAACCGTCAACCCAACACCACCACCCACTAAACCATGTCCCTAAGCGCCTCATCTACACGTCTTTTAAATACTTCCAGGGATGGGGACTCAACCACTTCCCTGGGCAGCCTGTTCCAATGTTTAACCACTCTTCCAGTAAAGAAATTTTTCCTCATGTCCAGTCAAAACCTCCCCTGGCACAACTCGAGGCCATTTCCTCTTGTCCTATCACTAGTTACTTGGGAGAAGAGACCGCCCCCCACCTCGCTACAACCTCCTTTCAGGGAGTTGTAGAGAGCAATGAGGTCTCCCCTCAGCCTCCTTTTCTCCAGGCTGAACAACCCCAGTTCCCTCAGCCGCTCCTCATAAGACTTGTTCTCCAGACCCTTCACCAGCTTCGTTGCCCTTCTCTGGACACGCTCCAGCACCTCAACGTCCTTCTGGTAGTGAGGGGCCCAAAACTGAACACAGTATTTGAGGTGCGGCCTCACCAGTGCCGAGTACAGGAGCACGATCACTTCCCTACTCCTGCTGGCCACACTATTTCTGATACATCCTATGCTTCTGGCTTCTACTGCAGCTGGTTGCACCTGAAGTAGAACACACTGCTATGATTTATTTGTGTTACCACAGTGTCTGTGAACACGGGTTATAGGTGAGGCCCTAATATGCCTTGCATTGCCCTGCAGAGATTTCATCTGTTACCTTTCATAGGGAGATATCACAGAGATACGATATAGATGATCTCAAAGGTAGCTTTCACAACACATCATCAGCCAACTCCTTTCTTCCTGTTTCCCTTTCGGTTTGTGCAGAAATGTAGTAAAGGGGAGCCAAGAATTAATATAATTTTGCAGATATTTATAATGACTTCTCCAAGGTACACGGGATGTCATGGGAAGAAGCAAAGCACAAATGTTCTTAGCCTAACAAGTGTGTTTGGTGAGGGTGTGATTGTAATGAATGAGACACAGTGTCTAGGGTAAGCTATATTGAAATTGAATGCAAGGGTGGATTACAGTGATGCAGAAATGCAGAGAGCAGGTTGAACTATATCACATAAGGGGATATAGTTCATTGTGAAGTTGTCTTTTAGTTATCTGAAAACAGAATTGTGTCAGTGGTGCACAACAGTGTTGAGTGGAGAAACGCAAGCCAGCTATGGATGAGTCAGCTTAAATAAGGATATTGGTGTATCTACATTTGAATGGCTTTTTTTCCCAGTATAATTAGCTTTGAGAAGCCACAGCATACAGAAAGAAACTGAATTAATTGGCCCGCATGGAGCAGTGCACTAATGCAGCTTTAGCATTTCATGCTTCAAAGCTGTTCTGTACAGGTCTCTCAGAATATAGTCCCAAATTATCACCTCACCCAAATGGGCAGGGTGGTTCTAGGATATCTGACCACATCTGGACATAGCCTTTCTCAAAATTCCTGCAAGCAATTCTCTGCAGGAATGGGGATAGAGGCCTTTTCCTTCAATAAGCACTCAATTCTGAAGAATGTGACAACAGCCTCAGAAGTAATACAGGAGTGCTAGGCAGCCTGTTAAAGCTCTGAATTTAAGTTGGCACAGATGAAGCACTTCTTTCTGCCTACAAGTGAAAACAGGCGTTTAAATCCATCCTTTGTGACTTCTCTTTTTTTGTCTGCCTGAGAGAATGCTAGGCATATGCACACAGACTCATATCACGAGTTACTGATCTGCAGTAGCATAGAGGGAAATGTAGATATGCTTCCAAGCATTCAGAGTGACTGAGGCACCTTACCATGTGTGTTTTTCTGCTTTGTCATTGTTTACATTTTATGGATCAATGTATTTTGATTTTTCTCTGCTGTACAGTCAAATTATAATGGATTAAATGCTACCTTTTCTAACTCTGTGGATGTGAAGAGGAGTGAACCAAGCTGATATAGAAAACTCTGTGTCTTTCTAGGATCCTCAGAAGCTTGAGCCTTCGGAAGTTGATGGTGGGGCACAATCGTCTGCAGAGCCTTCCACCTCTTCCAGAACACATTCCACTGGAGGTGCTGGACCTTCAGCACAACCTGTTGACTAAACTCCCTGAGATGCTCTTTGTCAAGGCTCTGAAGTGAGTGGCAGTAGTGAGCATCTTTTGTCTGCATTAACCTTTGGAGCTGTAAAGGCTGATAGTGGCATCTGCGTGACTGTCCTTGCAAGGTTCCATTTGCATAAGAGATAATGAGGCGTGCACTTTATGAGGAGGTAATTCAGGTGCCATGAGGGAAGTCATCAAGCTGAGAGAATCAGTCCATGTTACTGTTTAATTACAGGAAAACAGAGGCTTGCCTAACCCAACAGCCAACCAAAGAATTAGCTTCAGTTGCAACTGTTTCTAAGATCATGTTACTGCCTGAAGAGCTTTGTCTTTAAAAGTAGTGCGTAAATTCAGGTGCAAAGGAAAGAAGCCATACAGATTTTCACATACTACAGCAGAAAGTACATCAGGTCATTGGAGAACAGCGAGAAGGACCCTTACAAATGAACAACCCTTCATAACTGTCTATTCAGACATGAGTCAACCCTTCCTTTAAAGACTCTGAGTAAGAGTTTATGTAGTCTGCTTCCACCAGTATTACCCACCCCCTCCACAGGCTCTTCAGTACTCACTGGTTACTGTAAAATGCTGTGTGCATCCACAGTGCTATATAGCTAATAAGTCATTAGTAGACTCAAATCTTAATGTGAGTAGGGATGTTACACTGTGTTGTCTGGCCTCTTGTCTAATGCTGTTGTTCTGTCTACCCTGGCATTTGTATACCTCCTTTTCCTGCTGTTAATGGAGTGGTTTAGATGATGTGAAGTCTGATTTTTGCACTTGCTATGGTTAGCCTCAGGTACCTGAATGCATCTGCAAACAGCCTGGAGTCCTTGCCCTCTGCATGTACAAGGGAGGAGAGTCTGAGCATGCTGCAGCTGCTTTACTTGACCAATAATAACCTCACAGATCAATGCATCCCTGTCTTGGTGGAACACCCGAGCCTACGGATCCTGCATCTGGCAAACAACAACCTACAGACTTTCCCCGCAAGGTAAATAAGTAAGGCTGGTGGGCGAGATAGTGCTCACCAGGAGGATGTTGCCTGCCTTACTACTATTGTACATGAATCAGCGTCAAAGCAAGATGCTCTCCCTGTGGCTTGATGACAAAAGCCTGCCATTCCTACACACACACTGAGGAATGGCATGTTAAGGGAGATTGGCACAGGGTACTGTTGGCTGCAGTCGTTCCTGTCCTAGTTGTGGTGGATGTGGGGGGTGGGGTGGGGGCAGTATTTATTCACAACTTCAATGCTACTGGCATGCAGCTTGCTGTGCTGCGTGTTTTCACTTTTCAGTCTTGCCAGAAGGCCCTCAGTCAGACTTGTCTGAACTCCTACCTAATGCAGGTCATATAATTTCATCCATTAATTCATGCATCAGGCTTACGATTTGGAGTTGAAATAGAGATAAATCTATGCTCAGTGTAGAAGCTCAAGAGGCTGGAGACTCCCATGTGTTCCTACTAAGTTATTCCAGTTGCTCTCAGTTATATAAGCCTGCATCTTATTTTTCAGTGAGAATTTTATTTATCTGCTTCTTTTTACCAGTATATCACGCTGTCTTTCTAGTATGAAAACTACATAGTATCAGGTATTTTTTTGTGGTGCAGTCAATCGGCTAGAGGGAAGGAATGT